GAGACCAAGCAGAGAGAAAGAGAGACGAGCAAGAGAGAGACGAGCGAGAGCAGGACAGTTATATATAAAAGGAGCATCCACAGCTCCAGGCAGGCCCAAAGTCAAGGTCAGGCCAGGTCAAGGTCAGGCCGCATCAGCCATGCGCCTATCTATAGCGGACTGGTTCAACTAGCTAGCGAGCGTACCTTGATGCTAAATTTATGTCTTTCTTTCTTTCTTTCTTTTTTTTTTTTTTCATTTTTCCCTTTTGTTGATATCCATTATTTATTCTATCAAGTCTACTCCATCTCTTGCTTAGCTTGCGTTCCTGGATCCTGCAGTGGAGTCTGCTGGTCCTCTTCTTCTCTTTTCGCCGTCTCGTTGCTTCTTCGGCCTTTTTCTTTTGCCAGTAGGGATACTCCGAGTTGACTGACTAGTATCGACTCTGCTCATCGTCAGTCGGGCGTCTTCTTCTGATGCTTCTTTTCTCCGCGTGGGTGAGCTGGGCCTCCATTGCAGCCCCTGACCCTGCCAAGTTGCAGCCGTAGTCATGGGCATATACTTACAGCCGTTGATTGCTTTTTCATCATGCATACTCAGATACAGCCTGTACATACGGAGTACTAAGTGAGCATTTAGGTGTCTCTCGCTAAGGATTTGGGCTCTTTGCTTTTTCGCCTCCTGCTCGTCCCTGAAGCGTAAAGGGCCTGCCCAAGCGCCGGGCTCGAGCAGTTACCCTGGAGAGCTAGAGGGTTCTTATTGAAGTTATGGATAGAGGTAGAGTCAGTCTGAGAAAGTCAGAGAGTCAGAGAGAGTCAAGAGACTTATTAGAGATACTTCAGAAAGTACTTGGATATGGTTGGCAATGACTGGTTCGGACGAGCCGTGGAGGATGGACGCCGTCGATGCTTGCTTTTTCTTCTTCTTCTTCTTCTTCTTCTCTTCTGCTTCTTCTGCTTCTTCTGCTTCTTCGTTCTCCTCGAGTTCGTCTCGATGGAGACCCATTTTTGGTCTCTGCTTACTGACCATGCATGGCATATACCTCCTACTCCTGACCATGTCTACCTTTGATGGATCTCAAGATGAGATATATAGAATCACTTGTTAAGGACAGGGACAGGGACAGGGCACCAGATACGAGCCCCAGGCGGTTCCGAGCGTGGGGTTTCCAGCCCCAGTCCTCAACGGTTCTCGCGATATCCCTCTGTTCTCTCTCATTATCAGTACTCTGCCTATATCAATCTCAATAAGAAGAGCTCTGTTTCATCTCCAGACACGCAGCATATCCATTGACGGTCCTGCCTCTAGCCCGGAATGCCCCTTGCATCCCCCCTCTCCCTCTTGGGCTGCTTCATGTCGAGGCGGTTGTGCTCTGTAGATATCTACGCCTGTGCGACTCCCACATAGCACACCCTGCCTGAACACCCCCTGAAAAAAAAACGTTAACTTATTTATTCCCAGCGCCAGACAAAAAAGCAATACCCAAGGCAAGGAAAAAGGAACCATGAACTCGTCATGCCGCTCCTCGTTGGCTCGTTACTCTCCCCATGTACTTGCTCTACGCGCCGTGCTGGATGTGCTGGCTGCCTGTACGCTGCCTAGGGGGCTGCTGGCTGCAGTGACTAACCGGCCAGCGACAGCTGTAACGAGCCTAGACATCTGGCCCCATCGATGAATAAGTCTACTCTGAATAAGTCTACTCTGGACATGAGGTACAGATGTCTAGAGTAATTACTTTTACCTTGATGATAGTCTCGACCGGTGGGGGATCTCCGCATGGGTGTGATCGCTAGTTCATCGGGATAAAACCACCAGGGCCAAAGAAGAAGAAAAGCAAGCAACCCAGATGGAAGAAGTAAATGTAAATGACTTTCTCTGCCTATCGATCAGTCAGGCCGGTGGGTTTCTCGGTCCAGCCGACGCAGCGTCATTGGCTGTCGTGGCGGGCGGGTTGGGACTGGCTCTGGCTCGCTGGATGTATCATATCAGTTTCTCACATTATTCGCTTCAAGGGGGGGGAGGAGATGGAGGGACGGCGGGATGATCGCATCTACATCTGCATCTCATCGCAATCGCAATCTCATCGCATCTCATCTCACTTGCATGGAACAAGAACAAGCTTGATCATATCATATATGATCCTGCCATCCCGGATAGTAAAAAAAGTCTCCAAGGTAACATCTCCCCCCTATCTACATCGACATACATACTTCTATCGTTACGCTGTACCTGCTTCGTCCTACCAGCAAGGTTTCAGACGGTCATGGTTACAGTTACAGTTGCGCTTGAAGCAATGTCTTCTTTCGTCAGTCGATTCCATGGTTCCAGTTGAGAAATGGCCAGTTCTTGACCTAGGCAGACCGTCAACCATGGACCAGAATGTCAACCATAGACCAGGCCGTTGGCTGAAGACATCTCGCCTCCCCCCCCTGTATATTAATAGCATCTCATAGCTATGGCCCCAAACTGGCTTGAGAGTCTCCAGTCCTCTTGACTTTCTGGGGGAGGCAAAACCATCCCGTTCCCTCTCCATGGGCTCTGATCATTTACCTGAACCTAGACACTGCTGCCGCCAGCCAGGCAGGTGGCTAGAGCGAGGGCCAAACTCCATATCTCCATACTTCTATAACTCCATGGCTGGAAAGCCTAAAATGGTCCGCCATGGCGTCCGCCGTCTAACTCCTCCGTTTCGGACGCGCTGATGGGCGGACGATCTTCTTCCTCTTTGATCCTCCAAGAAGCCTTCGAGGGCCAACAACCAGACCAGCGCCGAGGTCAAGGTTCACCACGCCTGAGCGTTCGTTCAATCCAGCAGACCCAGACCAGCCCCATCTTTCTCCTGTCGTTCGTTTGGTTTGCTGAACGGTGAGCCCGCAGCCACGAGTCGGGATCATCTCACACGTATGGCGTATCGAAGTAGACCGCAACTTGTGGCGGCGCAGACAGACGTAGACGCAGTAGACACTCCCCCCTGTGCGACGCTCTCTTGTTTGAACTCGCCTTGTCCAGTTTCATCTTCCTCTTTCTCGTCGTTGTCTTTTGGACAGGCCTGGCTCGACCTGCACTGCACCCCAGAGACGCTCCCCCCCCCTCAGCCGCAAGCCATCACCGCATCTTCCTTCGCCCGTTGAGTCGGGATTAGAATTTGACCGCCGTAGTTAAAAACACGACTAACTCCATCGCTTCCACTGGCTCGCATTGGCTGGCTCTAGCTCGGGCTTTGACTCTTGACTCTGCGCCGGGTATCCTCTCTACCTAGCGGTCCTCGTTGGCCTTGATGTGCAAAGGATGCGAATCTCGGACCTCTTCTGGTCAGTCCCACTAGCAAGGCGAGCGATTGGATACACTCCTCGTTTGCTCAGCCTGTCAGAGAGCAGATACATGGTACCTTTTTCCTGCGAGAATCCGGCTTGCAGGTTTTGACATCCAACATGTCAGAACCACATGTCTGCCACCCCGATCTTACTTTCAAAGAAAATCATGCTATGCAACATGCAGGTTCCCATCCGTTTGGCTGGCACTTGCTTTCGCCTTCGCATGGCATCATCTCGATGAAAAATAAATTCTGATCTCGAGGTGTAAAAAAAGGGGTGGGATCAAAGCACAAAGAAGAACCAACATGTATAGGGCTGGACGACCGCCGCATCCGGGCTGGAGAGCGAGCGAGCGAGCGATGATTCGCCATGGGATGGATCTGCTTTGCTCGTCCTGCCTGTCGGTAAAAATGCCAATAGTCCAGCTCCTGTCGTGTTGGTTCCACGATGTCACTGCACAGCTCACATATTGGAATCACCAGGCAATATTTCAGCCGTGGGAGTTTTATTGATTTGATATCGAGCTAGTCGCCTAATCCCTGTCTGCAGGCAGCCGGGGCAACTTGCTTACTGGCCTTTGACAGGCACAGAGACATCAGCCAACATCGATCATCAATATCAGACAGAGGCCACGGCTATACGAAGAGGCCATCAGTCGGTCGAAGTTGGCGGTGCCGTGTCATCTGTCATCCATCATCCGTCATTATCATCTGCATTCGCTGGCCCAGCAACCGGCGAAACCCATCACATCAGTCACGTCATGAGCCCCCCCCCCCCCCCCCCTTATCTGCACAGTATTCTTCTAGAAAGAAAGAGAAAAAAAAAGCGGATATCTTTTCTATCCTATTTCCCTCATCAGTGGCCCTGCAGCTGCGGAAACGCCGGCGCGGACGCTGCGTGGGTGCCTCTTCTCGCCTCCGGTTCTATAGCCATGGATTTTGATAGCTATAGCTAGGGATTGCGATTTGCTCATTTCCCCTTTCCTGTCCCCGTAGTTGGGGCCTGCATAGCCGCCTGGTCATACTTACATATACCCTGCTTTGCAGCGCGCCCCAGATGTGTTTCAGAATAGGAGCTGCTTTTTACCTACTTTACTTTCCTCTCGCTATACCCTATGGATGCAAATCTCCACATGCAGCCCTACGGCTATCTCCCTTCGACCGGATTGGATCGGTGACCACACTGCTGGTGCCAGGCGTTAGGCTGATAGCTAGGGCAGTGCTGAGCTGAGCTTGTCAGCTGGTTTAGCTACCTAAGCTACGGTGATCAACGGATACCTCTGCATGGATGGGTTCGCCGGTTTAGGTAAACGGACCAGCCATGCGCGACTGTTAGTCAGGGGGGGGCGGCAACCCGGCTACTGAAGAGGGAAACAAAGGGAACCTGCAGATGCAGATGCAGATGCAGATGCAGCATTTGCTCATCGGCCGATACTTGTATGCAGCGGCCTGAGTAAGAGTGGTGGCTTTGGGGCAAGACGACGGTTGATCGCCAAGTTATGCATGATGCTTTCTTAAGGTACAGAACCGGGGTATAGCGCATGCAGTTATGAAGCCAGAGCATATACATACGCTTTTCATTGCATGCAGACCAGCCCCGACTGGGCAAATGGGGGACCCATGTGTTTCATCTTTCTTCAACCTGCTGCCACTTCCACTTCCACTTCCACTTCCACTAGCTTGCAGCTTGTCCGGATGGTGGCGTACGTCACTCTCTGTCTACGGGGCTCTCCGCTATAGGAGCACTCAGGCTATGATAGAGGGAATGGAATAACTCCTCAATTGAGCTCTTCACTTCACAGCCATACAACTAACTAGCTATACCCCTTTACGGCCTCCTGCGCCGCCCTCTCCCACCGCGTGACATACCCACCAGCGCCTTCGACATGCTTTCTCTTGCGTCGAAGGCTCATGCAGACCCTGTACTCATCCTCAGGAACCTCTATCATCTCCAGCTTGCCATACTCAGGCCAAGAAACAGGTTCGCTCGCCTCAGAGAAATGTCTGATTGCCTTTGTCGAGCGGCGTTCACTTGCCCACCTGACAAGAAATTCTCGGTAGTCAGCGATATCCACCCCGTCTTCCAATGGCAGCTTCAATTCCCACTTCTTCATGTTTTCAACCTGGCCTACATCTTGTTCCCAGGGCAGTCCCCCTCGGAAGCTCTCGTCTAACGTCAGAGTCTCGTAGATAGTAAATACCAATGCATCAACGTCGTTGTACCCCCGTATTGTGTCTTTGCCTTCCCCTCCTATCCGTGCTGATCTGTCGAAATCAAATCAAGCAGCTCTTGACTGGCCGGGTCTATCAGGATATTCCTGGGCGCCAGGTCCTGGTGCATCAGTCCATAGCGAAAATTCAGCTCATCCACGGCGTCTGTAAGCTGTTTGAGCCACCGGAAGTAGAATGTGCCGCGATAGTGCTCGAGAGTGCCGCCGGCTATGTACCCCGTGGTAAGTCCCAGGATGTTATGCGTTACTTCGTCCAACACTATCCGATCAAACGGCACATATCGCTTATTCCCCCGTAGAGCCTTGAGGATATGCAGTTCTCTCCAGACGTTCTCGACCCGGGTCTGGATAAGGGTATATTTGAACACTGCCTGTTTAATCGTGTTTCCCCGAGAGTACTCGACCAGATCTGTGGCGATATCCAGCCTGTCGACTTCTTTCAGGTCTGATCGGAAAATAACAGTCTCCTTTCTGTTGGGCCCGAGTAAGCCGGATTCCTGATCTCCCATCTTGGATCGTCCGAGGAAACGCCGACTAGCTCGCGGTGCTCGTTAGATGTCAGCGTCTGTTCATCCTCGCCTACTAAGTCGGCGTATCGGGCTGCAAAGTCCTCAATGTATTCGTCCTCGGGAAATGCGTTTTTTGGTCCGTGGATCCGCAGCTACCGTCGCCTGTCCAAGTCGATCACTTCCCATGTGCAAGGTCCTGTTGGGACAGGAGAACACATTCCTTCATTGACAAAGAACCGGTGCTGTGGAGGCATCATGGTTGGTTATACGAGGTGGTTAAATCCATACACTTTAGGTGTTGGTTTGTTACTTGATGCTGGAGTGAGGCTGTGATGAGAATCATGGTAACTGGCTAGTGGTTGGTTGTAGCAGGGATTGTCTACAGCCATAATCCCTGGTCGAGAAAACGCCCCTTATCCAGCTCTTTATTCTAGTCAACGAGCTACGGGTACAGAAATGGGTGAAAGAAACTGATCCCCATGGAGTAGCAGTAGCCTGGTCCCACCCGGTCTTCTTCTTGTCTTCTGGAATACCCCAGCTAGTCATTCTTTTATTCCGTCCCATCCGAATGGCGGAGACGTAGCCAGCTCACTCCTATTCCCCCTTTTCTCTCGGCAGCATTCAGTGACTAGATCTCACTAAGATTTTCGGATTTCAAGCGTCATTCGCGTGGTCTCCGGCACTAGCACATAATCATTATCCCCTTCCGTCATGGTAAAGTTAACAACACCCGGTACTAGCGTAGCGTTCAACCTCCACGTCCATCGAGGTAATGTCTTGAGCCCTTCAGGTGCCTAAGTTTTCATCTATGTGTTTTGTCACAGCGGCAGCGCTGGTTGATACTCTAGCCAAGGCATGCAGCAAGCGAGAGTAGGTGAGTTCCTCATGAGGCTCCTCCGTCACAAGGTGAAGTAGACCGGACAGATGGTCTATGCCCTTTCGAACATCCGCTATCATGTCGTTGACAGTGGGATGTTGTGGTGTCTCGCCGGCTCTAGACGAGAGCTCTTCCTCGCCCAGTTCGAAGTGCATTGCTTCTGCTTCGCGCCATGGGATGTCTAGCGATTCTCCGATCTTTGTCCAGAATTCCTTCTTGTGCCTGTACTGATTAGATGGTGACGCTGGTCATTATAGGTTATATAATTCTCGCCTTCTGTATTGCACTGCCAACGCGTTTTTTGCGTCTTCGCTCCATCCGTCGACTTCTACAGATTCGTTTTCTCCGTCATCCTAAGTTGCATTAGGCTGTTGCAATACAGGGATATAGGCTCGAGAAGAATGCGTACTTCTATGGCAGACCTGCCTATCGTGTCCGATTCACTTTCTTCCATTATGCTGTCTCCTTCTTCAATGACTTCGCTGCCTCGACCACTTGCAGAGTATTCTGGACCATCAGGTGGATCCAGGGTCATGCTGCCATACTGATCAGGCTCCTCACGGCTCTCTGCCATTCCTGGGATAATATTTCTAAGTAGTCGGTAAAGGGTGTAACGCATTTGTGATCAGAGAAAAATTGGCTGATAGTCCTGCCAAATAGGTATATGGGCCTCTTCAAGTAGTTGATCCTTATATACACCGCAAATAGGATAGGACAAACCATAAAGTCCCTAATATAGACCCCTTTAGTTAGCAAGAGACCCCTCTAGAATGCAACAAAGAGTAGTAGACATCATCCAACTAAGCTCACAAAGGTAACAAAGGTGGTATTGAGCAATATCAACATAGATATGATGATTAAACAGTGTATTTGGACGTTGATAGAACCGTAAGGAATCAAATATTTCATCATCAGGTAATATAAAGCAATATAATTTTGTTTTTGCAACCATAAACAGCTATAGATGGAACAGAAAAAAGATAATACCCCCTTTAAAGTAGAATATAAGTTGGATAGACATGTCTCCAAAGGATTATGAAACTGTTTGCTGTGTCTTAGAAAAAAGTGCTGCTATGTTGTGTGCAGCCGCAGCAAAGAGCTGCCTGCCTGCCTTGAGGGGGCCCCTTTTGACCATGTTCCGTGCAGTCTACTCTCGAGGAAGGCCATTTGGTGCAGTCAGGACACTCCGGGCCGGCCGGATAGCGCTCACCACACCTTCCTCACCCATTTTTTTTTTTTTTTTTTCGAGGCTGCAGGTTCGAATCTGGCTCGGAACTCCCTTTTTTTGGCCGTTTAGTCAGCCTTAGGGGGGATATAAGGTAAGTTATGGCCGATATTTCTTCAAGAGGGGCAGGATGGCGTAGTCAGGTCACTCCAGCCTTGAGCTGGATAGCGCTCGTCACCTAGCCCCTCACTTTTTTTTGCCCTTGGTTCGAATACCAGCCAGGGCTTCTTTTTTTCTCCCTCCTTCTACTTTTCCAACGCAGTACATACCACAGTCCACATTCCACTTGTTTTTCCTTGTTGACTGTCTGGTATAAGCAGCGGTGGCCATCTTCTTTGAGTTTCTTGGATGTAGCTGGGTATCTTCTGCTTTTTCTTGAGCCATGTTTTTTCCTTTCCATCTTGCATGTTGTCTTGCATGCCTTTTTCTTTTCTTTTCTCTTCTTTTTAGCGTTTACTTTCTGCAGTTATCGCCACACAGGACACTCATAGTCAGGACCGGCATCCGCCCTCTATATAACTACAGGTTTGGGTATCTGCGAGTAAGGGTATACGGATATCAGTTATATGTCCACTCTATTCAAGGTATCTGGCCATTATACATAGACTGTATATCGATAGCTGCATTTACTCTCAACAATATCTACACTTGGATGCTACCCTGGTGTTGGTATACTGATATCGTCGAGAGGTCATACTCGTACTCAAGAGCGGTAAGTTATTATGATCGTCAGGTATAGGGAGCCGTGATAGAGCGCTCTGAGCCTCGACGCGCTTCTAGAGGGTACGTATGATGCGATGGATGATGGTATTGGCCAGGTGGCGCGCATCGCATCGCTTCTGGTTAGGTATCCATGGTAACCGACTGACGAGGCCTACTGGTCGGGAAAGCGCGTCCTACGGCTGGCAACAACTGTAATTAACAACAAAAGAGCGATTCACATAGTTAAGAAGCAATCTCCGAACCATCCAGCATCAAAACCTCATAGCAGGTATCGCGGGTATTCGTTTGATCTGTTTTTGATGTTGAATCAGACTTTGTTGACGTTTTATTAGGGTTGCCAAGACATGGTCCGTCCCCAGTGCCAAGCCATGACCGCATATTAATTATAGCACGTTTGAGGATTTTACTACGTGAAGATCCCCCAGTCCTCTTGTGTTTCAAGGGATTTCTTGTAAGGGATAGGCTCATCTTGCCGGGGGGTCGCTTTATTGTTGGTTTAGTCCATGCAGTAATATTTCTCTCTGCGGTGTCGAGTGTACCTGGCTGGAGGCGCAACTCCACACCTCTACAGACAAACAATGGAGAAAACCTATGATCTTAACAGCATCTATTTCACGGGCTAAATAGAAAGTGTTCACCTGTAAAAAGGTTGGCAAAATGGCTGAAAGCTGGATAGCATTGTGCTATCAGCCTGCTTCTGGGGAGATTGTCTCTTTTTATTGATATTGGTCACCGCCCTGGTTACACAGTAGGATATATTCAACAGTCCAGATGTAAACTCGCAGAAAAGAAATATATCCCTATCGCATCGCTGCGGCTCGCAGATATCCAGTCGATCAGATATCCAGTCGATGCATGGAAGTCCGCAAATCTGCCGCTTAGGGTTTGAGGTCACACGAGCAGCCCAGCCTAGGTCTCGCTTACATAATCTGGCCATCCTTAACGGCGTTTTCTGGAAACTTGACCAGAACTGTTCGCATCTTTGGGACATCAACAGCCGTTTCGCAGCCGCTCTCGATTCGCAAGTCGCATACCTCGACGCCGGTAGTCTCCAGAAGTCAGTGTTTGGACCCATAGTACGGACGTCTGCTATTAGTGGTGAGTTTGCTGCGAGGAGCTGGGCTCCGTGGATGTGAGAAGCCTGCCTGTCGCATTCCTCCTGCCCCCCGCTAAAGAGGCCAGTGGTGTAGCCCTCCCTTGCGAGATACGTCTTTGTATCTATTATCAGCTTGTTGCTATGTTTGAGCTAGTTAGTTTTAGCTCACTTTGGCATTGGTGTGCATGTGTATTGGCCTCTACAATTCAGGAGCAATTCCTAGTGCCTATCCCCTAAGGGGTTGCCCATTGACTTGTGCCTCATTTTGGAGCACTTCACTACTAGCTGTCACCTTTCTCTCCACGTCCTTTATTCTTATTAGAATGCTCAAACTGACATATTTCAAAGCTATATAGGTCACGTCGTTTCTGCCTCTGCCCTACCCTATTCCTGTACCTTTTGCGCGTTGCCAACATTGAATACAGTCTGAGTGGTAGGCGAATAGGGACGAAAAGATGGATGCGAAGGAGATCGAGCTGAAGTCAAAAGCTTTGACCAAAGCCACTGCTTCTGGAGAGTCGAGTGCCACGATAGTTTCGCTGTTGAAGGAGCTTCAGAAGGGGATCCAGCCTACCGAGGACCTTTTGCGGTCAACGAAAATCGGTATCATCGTCAACAGGCTCAAACAACATAAAGCACCAGATGTTGCCCGACTTTCCAGTGAGATAGTTTCAAAATGGCGTGCAGAGGTCAACAAACAGAAGAAAACTGCGTCTCCTGGCTCAAGCGATTCCCCCAAGCCTACTCCTAACGGGACCGGCACTCCTGCATCGGCGACGAATGATAAGGCGCAAAGTTCAAATGTACCGCCAGACAAGCGCAGCTGGAAAGCTGACCAGGTTAGCACTTCGGTTACTGGCGTCAAGGCACGCGACAGCTGCCTCGGTTTGATGTACGATGGCCTCTGTCTCGGCTCTACGGAATCCCCTCAGGCTGTCCTGCGGAAGGCAACCGAAGTCGAAGCCGCAGCGTTCAAGGCCTTTGGACCCGAGACCAAAGAAGTATATCGCAGTAAGATGCGGAGTTTATACCAGAACCTGAAGAACAAATCGAACCTCAGCCTCCGGACTCGCGTTCTCACAAACGAAGTCACGCCCGAGCGGTTCGTCAACATGACACATGAAGAGCTCAAATCCGACGAGAGAAGGGAAGAAGACCGCAAGATCCAAAAGGAGAACATGGACAAGGCCATGGTTGGACAGCCCGAACGAAGCATCAGTAAGAGCTTACAGTGCGGCAAATGCGGCCAGAGAAAAGTTACATACACCGAGGCGCAGACACGCAGTGCTGACGAACCGATGACACTCTTCTGCACATGTCTCGCTTGCGGAAAGTCATGGCGTCAATAAACACTGCGGACCCGAATGCTCTCGTTTCCTTCCTAAAAAACTGTCTTAGCACTTGGTTTGTCCTTTTATTCCCCGGAGCTTTTTGGAGGGGGTTGGAAGGCGCCGGCGTTTTACTTCCTCGGGCAAGAATGCTGCTTTTTGTCTCGCTTCTTTCTGTTCTTGTTGAAGTGCGTAGCATCTGCGAGCGCATCTTTTACTTCTTCGCCTTTGACTACAGGCTTCTAGAAGTTCCTCTGGTACTTCTGGTAGGCTGAAACACTGCGTTAGTCTACCAAGAGCTTGCATTTGCTTGGCCAGATGTTCCTCCAGGTTCCTTCTGGTTTCTACCTTTATCCTTACGATCCCAGCTGTATATTGATTATCAAAATGATTCATGTTATTGTTTTCACTATATTTCTTTGCTTCCTCCCTGCAGACTAGCTCACTTCTCCCAGAGTCTATCTATTTATATATATCTAAAGCCACAGATAAATAGCCATACTAACTAGTCAGGTACCAATCGAAACTGCTGTAACATGATAACTACCTTGGTGGAATTGTAGAGCTAAATAGACTGTTGATCATGATAAAGGGCAACATCAGCCTCTTTGGCATATATTCAAGGTGAAAACAGAATGGTTATAGTATTATATGTTGCATTGACCGGATAATAGGGGGTAGACTTTTGTGGTCAAAGCTAATAAATCTCAGGCAGCAAAAGAGAGTTGGAGATCAAGACATATAAATAGCCTGGCTGACTGGACAACAACCGCAGTCATTATCAGACCACAGACAAGGGACAGAACGTCCTGGACATGGCTAATGGCCAGCTAATGGCTTATATATATATGGCTGCTTGCTAGCTGCATCCTTTTATATTCCGCTCCTTTAGTTTTTGCTGCAACTCTCACTTGTTTTCTACTTTTGTTCCTTTTTCCACTGCTTAACCACCAACCTCCTCGCCCCAATGCCAGGAGCAATCAACTGGGAGCCACCAGCTTCACAGGCTAGTTCGAATATCATGGGCATGACGATGCTGAAAAAGCGGAAGAGGGATGCAGATTCCAGACAGGAAAACACCGTGGTGCCTTCGTAAGTCTCTATTCAAGCGGAGTGCAAAAAGGGCTCTTGCAAAACTCTGCTCCTTTGGCAGACCAGATAACTGACTGTTTAAATGGCTTTAGACCTTCGATACAGTTGCCCTCATGTCCTCAGTCAAGGGTAGAACATTCTTCAATCGGCCCTGTTTGCTCCCGAGCGGACCTGATCTCACCATCCAAACCACGCATAAGACCCTTGACGTCACCTTTGAAGAAAAGACGACTAGAACAGAAGACCGTGCAGTCCAAGCCCTCACAGCCTGTTATACTGTACCCTCGAACGGCACAGACAGATGGGAATCCTCAATACGCTCAAATCAATTCCCAGTACTTTCCTACGAATGCTACGTCGGACGATTATATTATGAAGAACGCAGGCGATTCCCCTAGAGATGTTCATGGATATTATATACCCGAAGGTGAACATGATAGATCAATGCCGGAGCTTCGTCAACAGACTGGTTCTACACCGAAAAGAGCAGCTACAGGGGATAAACAGACGCTTGCGCCATGCCACATTTGTCATCGACGCCCTACGACACGGACGGCGCTGGACGCCTACGCGGATTGCGAAATATGCAGCAGGAGAGCATGTTTTGTCTGCTTAAGAGAGTGTGACGATGTTTACTGTCGAGAACGAGAGAATCATACAGACGGTGAAAGTTGCAAGAAGAATATTGAACAGGGGGAATATCCTGGCCGGAGGATATGCTCCTCTTGTGCAGTGGAGGACATCCTTGAGACCGGCGAAGAAGTTGTTCGCTGCCTCATTTGCGTTGAGCATGGATAGATGGTTGATACCATTATAATCCCTTGATATCTGGAGTTATAATCTTTTCACATCTGGGCCATTTTTCTAGCATGTTTTTATTCTGGGTTGGCTGTTTCATAGAAGACGTCAAGTTGACATATATCTATTCGAGGGCAGTACTTTTCTGGCAGATATTCATTGATTAAAAATAGTAAATTTTATGAATAATTTTATAGGCTACAGGTGTATAATATTACGTATAGGTAGCAACATCAACGCCTCTAAGGGGGGAGTCTCATGACGCAGAGAGGGAAAGCGATGCTCTATCGTCCGAACCTCATCTCGGCTCTGGCGTACTTCCACAGCCCCTTTATGAATCTCTGATACTCTACAGCTTCGACCTCACCGGCAATGCCAGTGGTGTGGTCTCCGGTGCAGAATATCTCTGATAATCGGATCTGCCAAGGTGGGTACCCGTCCAGCTTGACATAAGGCCCAAAGATAAGGATGAGATCGGGCTCTGCCTTGATCAATGGGGCTGGCAGGCTTCCAGAAGGGGAATCAGTGCCATTGGTCTCGCTGCCAGGATCCTGTGGTGAGGATGCTGGGATGGTCATCATCTCAGCAAGTTCTGCATCGATCAGCTTAATACCGATATCCTGCGGTGAGACCTTGCCATGCTGTGCCATTTCTGCTAGGGTCTTGGTGAGGTCGACCAGAGTTTCCCGTCCATCTGTGCTCGAAAGAAGAAGGACAGTTATGTTCTCGACGTTTGATTTTGATGCTTGAGGGACGAGTTTCGGAGCGTAGAGTGGATGGTGAGGTGCAAAGACGCCTAGGGAAGGCTGATGGGATGGAGGCCCGTAGTAGGTGTCGAGTTTGCTAGTGATAATCCGGTGTAGAGCTGGAATATGTGATTTCAGGATCCCTATACAACATGTCAGTATATCTAAGCTTCGTCTTTTTGATATGTGGCCTCGAACCTGTCTTCTCGTAGATGCTCAACGCAGGTATCCCGGCACACGAACTCCAGGCCGTCAGCTCAGCAACCTCGTCCATGAGCGTCTCCAGGGCGTCTTCCTCTCGTCTGAGTGTCAGCACCACGCTGAGATGCTCTGGCAGCCGGTCCAATCCCCTGACATCCTTGCGGATCAGCTCGGGCGTCCGATGGTGATAATACAGAATCGCAAGCACCCGGTCCACAACCGCATAGTAGCTCTGGCGTATCCGCGAGTAGATGCTGAAGATGATGTGTATGAGGAAATATAAGAGATAGTAGAGCTTCGAGCGCAGGAACCGCCGGACGGGTTTCGAGCTGGCCTTGCGGCTCCGGACGGAGGACTTGCGGACTCGCGGCGGCATCAGGAACGGCTTCACAGCGGCCTCGCGCTCTGCAGCCGGAAGACTCTCAAGATGTCTTCGCAGTCCCGGGGCATCTTTCACGTACGCCATGGCTGGGTTATCTGAATTATCTGGTTCTTTGGTTCACGGATTGCGCTTGCAGGCGGGAAAGAAGGACGGGCGAGCGAGCGACGCTGGAAGGGAGAATTAAAGCTGTCAATAGAGACGAGACGGCATTCTCTATGGATATACCGTCTGCTGTTGTACCAAACAGATGTCAGACAGCAGCCAAAAAGCAGGGAGTAAATAAACGATATCTGTGTTGATCTTCAATACTCAGCTCTGACGTAGAGGTGCGTGGCTAAGCTGGTGCTAGCCAGGAGGAGGCTTTAAGTGGTGTGGCTAGTAACACTTCGACGCCCAAAGGACGGCCAAACATCTACAACTCCTCAGGGACGCCAGAGACCACCAGCACATTCGATAACGACGGCTCAATCTACGGGAAGACGACAGCGCTGACGCTGATATGTGATATATAAGGGCGCCCGCCGCAGCTTTACGAGTCCTCGCCGTCCGTTCCTCGCCGCTCCTCCATGTCTGGACTCGGTCGCAAACATGCCGGACCAGAACTTCCAGTCTGATATGCGCAGGTCGATATTCAACAAGGGGCCGGACTTCACCTTAGAGACCTTCTCGAGCCGAGACTTCATCGTCAAAGACTTCATCGAGTCCCTGTCCGACGCCGCCATCCAGCGCCGCTCCGGCGGCATCGGCAACCAGCCCTTCGACCCCAAGCCCCTGATCCGCGCCTTCGAGCATGCGCAGCGCCGCCTAACGGAGCTCTCAGGCGACCTTGAGCAGCGTGAGAATGAGCTGTCTGCGGCTGTCCGCAAGGCCGAAGCGCAGCATACACAGAACGCAAGCAACCTGGGCTGGAAGCTGAACCAGGCCATCGAGTCCTTCCAGAAGCTAGATACCTCCCTGAACGGACCCCATCGGCCTTCTACACGAGATGGACCGGGTGGGAATGGCAATGTGGCCGTCGAGACAGGGAAGAAGCTCGAAGAGCTCGACCGGCAGAGGTGCAAGGCTCTCGATGCGCATTTTCTCATTGGATGCTGGGACGAAGTGAGTAACCGCGGGGAGCTCACGATGCTCGAGAACCTGCGACGGTCAGGAAGTGCAGAGGGAAAAGTGCGTTCTGCGCGCATTGCCAGACAACTACTACGAATAAGCCAGAGACTGGACCCGTTGAGCTGGAGTGAGAGTAATGGAGGCACAGATACCATACCACCGAGCCCTGATGACCATGCGGGGACAAACGGGAATACACCCAAGAGGAGGAACACACGGGAGATCATTGAGAAGTTTTCTGAAACCCTGGAGAAAGACTTGCTGAAGCAGTTTGACCACTTTTACCGAAAGGCCAACTTTGAAGGCATGAAGGACTGCGCCAGTGTTCTGCAAGATTTCAACGGAGGAGCCTCTGTCATTGCTCTCTTCGTCAACCAGCACCAATTCTTTATCGACCGCAGTCAACTGATATCGGAAGAAGTAAGCGGAGACTCAGAGGCCTGGGAACAGCTCGCTGACCCTGATGCCCCGTCTCCTGGAGTAGAGCCCAGCCTGCAGTCGCTGGTCGACGAGGTCCAGGTGGTTGTCCAGGAAGAATCGGCTATCATCAAGCGAGCTTTTCCTTACTACGAACAGGTGCTATGCAAGTTTCTGCAGCGAGTATTCCAGCAGTCGATACAGCAACGGCTGGAATTGGTCTTGGATAAGGCCAGTTCGGTTTCCTCTCTGGCGTTTTTGAGGACGCTGCAGTCAGCTCGCAGCTATATTAGTGCTCTAGTCGACGACCTAAAAGCTCACGGATTGACCGAACACCCTGACACAATATCCTCACAAACAGCGATCTTCCTCGACCAGCAGTTGGAAGAACTGTTTATCCCCTATCTCGTGGGCACATCCTACATCGATCGAGAAAAGAACAACCTGGAAGAGCTTTACACATCTCTAATGTTCAAATTCGCCACATTCCACTCTCGACGGAAGAAAACACCAACTACTTTCATGTCCTCTCTTGCAAAATCTGGAAGCGAGCTGCTGGCCTCAGCAAGAGATGCATACATGAACAGCCTCGACTCCTCTGACTTTACTCCCACACAACGCAAGATGCTTCTACGAGTTGCTGGTCTCAAGGAAAATGGCGAAATGCAAAAACAGAACGAGATTGAACTCATGGAAGAAGACGGCCAACTAAGCGTGGCCTTTGCCAAACGTATGCTCCGATGGTTGGCCGAAGGAGTAGGCAGAAGCCTAGAACTCAGCGTGAGCAGCGAGACGCCCAAGGACGTATCTACGCTGCTGAACATGCTTCTATCCAGGATGGGCGAGGGATACATAGAAATGGCCCTCGATGCGTCCCTGGAATCCGCTCATGCACAGGAATCTGGCAAAGCTGAGCCAGATTTCAATTACCTGACTACCCTGAGGACGGCCATTAGTGTAACATACCTAATGATGACGTGTATTAATGCCGTGCTTGTTCCGTTGGCAGCCTCCAATATAACAATAAAACGAGATATGGAGAAGAAGACTAATCTTATAATGCACCGCATTGAGGAGAAAATCAACTCCATTGAGCAGAAGACCGTCGATGTGACTCTTGCATGGGTTGCACGAGTCCTTTCCGGCCAGAAGAAGAACGACTTCCGGCCCAAGGAGGGCGTAGCAGATGAAACTGGATGGCTAGAGATGCTCCAGACACCGGTGAGCCTCTTACTTTGGTACATGTTGCAATAACCCTTCTAACTTTGAATCTAGACATGTGCATCTATCTCTGGTTTCTTGACTCGTCTTCACAACATAACACTTACATCACTACCGTCCAGCGGCTCTAATGTCCGAGTGTTTCTCACTGAGATTGCTCTAGGAACCAGGGCATTACTCCTGGAACATTTTAAGAAGTTTCCTGTCAACGCTCCTGGTGGTCTTATGGTTACCAAAGACATGACTCGATACACTGAGTTGCTCCGATCCTGGAACATAGATGAATCCGTCAAGAGTGTCGGCGGAATACTTGATGTCCTGCTTGAAGTCGGCAGTCTGTTTGTTATTGGTCCACAAGCACTCAAAGAGCGTGTAAGAGCTGGAACGGCTGGGGGAGGCAGTGGTACTTCAACTGGAGGTGGTGGTGGTGGAACAACGAGCGGAAGCCAGAGCAAATCCAATGCCGGCTTGACCGTACAGGAAGTACGAGCTTATGTGCTTCGCCGTGAGGATTCAGGAAGTGCGGCAATGCAGGATGTCTTCAACGCATTTTGAATTAATGGGTTAGGGTAATGGTTATTTTTTTGGCGAGAGGTTCTCTCAAACACGCTTATAGAGTGATGTTTATGTCGACAATGTCTAATTGCACATAGGGATACATAAAAAATTCTACGTTTATACCTCCTATTTCAGTCATGTTTCTCATTTTACCTGCAGGAGTAGAGCTGTGTTTCTAAAAAAGTCTTGTACAAGAACAGGAGGGTTAGTTCAACCTCGTTTAACTCCACCAACATTACAGATACTATCCCACGAGATGTTCTGTAGCCCCTTGGGAAGAGAAAGGCCCTCGACCGTCCAACTGGCAATGACTATCTCGAAAGTCCAGGCCAAAAGTGCTTTCCCCCAATGCGCATTTCTCCCCCATATCGCCGTCTCGATAACGGTCCCAATCCCATTCAACAGGAAGAAAGCAATGATGCGCAATATACCGTCCAAGGGGAGAACAGGAGCAAGGCTGTACGCATGAAACAAACCCATCAACGAAAACGAAGCAATGATTCCAACCCCCTTTGCAAACGATTCAGGAACGCCGTATTTGGCAGGCAGATGTCGTCGTAGGGGGTCGTATGCGAGTGACCGGCAAGGACTAGCAAATGCCGTGTGCCATGTTTCGCTCCAAAAGGAGGCAAGTGATGAAGCAGTGTAGACCGGTCCAAAGAGAGGAGGGCTAGTCTTGTAGCGGAGGAGGAGCTGTAGTGATTCCCAGATGACGTAGATCGCGAGCAGAATCTGAATGGCCTGAACAGTCGGATTGGATAGCGGGAAAAGAAACTGGGTGGCTAGAAAGAAAGCTGCGTGTATGACTAGATCGAATGCCTCTGAGAATCGATGGGGAGCTTTGCGTCCTGGTGTCTGCAGTGAGGCCACTCTCTTGCCGAATGTAGAGAAGACCTGTTTGCCGCCCTTTAGGTCTCGCTTCTGGTAGCAGACGTATTCTGCAGTAGTGTCTGCTTCCAGCTGGGCTGGAGCAGGAGCTGTACGGAGATAGTTTGGTGTAAATGATTCATATCTCAGCTCCGTGAAGAGAAGCAGAGCAATGATGCTGTCTGAAGGCGGATTCGGATCTGTGTATTTAGGAGGTGATTTCCTCCGGGCATAAAAGTCCAATGCCTTCATGGTACCAATTGCAACTGTAACTATCATTAGTATCATGTTGTAGATCACTGGCTGGTAATTGAGCCCAACTATGATGCTTACCGGCGAACAGTTGCAGGCTTCGAGCCACGGAGCACTCCAGCACAACCAGAGTACCATTGGCAGCGAATGCGAAGATGGCCATCCAATCCAGCATCACAAACACGCCCGTCTTCTTCTTCACAAGCGCGTATAGCGCCAGATAGAGCAAAGCAGCTGGTATCATCAACGAAACGAGCCCCGTTTTGATATCAGACCCGGCTTCTGACAGGGCTTTTCGAGCAGCCGGCGAGACCTGCGGCATGGCAACCAAGCACTGGGATATCATCCTGGATTTCCTTCTGGGCTCCTAACAACCCCTTCTCTCCCTCCAACGCGACTCTCCAGCCTTGGTCTTCGTGTCTTTTGCTGTGATCTCGATTGATGACCGTAGTAGATCTAGCAGATCCGTCAACTGCAGCGCTCAACTGATGGCTGCCAACGAGACGAGGCATTCAACCAGGCAGAGGCCGCAGTAGTGTGGGGATAAAATATCTTCAGGTATAGGACAGATGTTGCTTTTTTTTTTATTCCTTTTTTTCTGTGTGATTCTAGTGATATATCGGTGTTTGCATGTGCATGCATGTCCTAAGGGTGGCATCCGGATGCATCTATGCAGCCAGGCGGAGGACGTCCTGCAACTATTTCTCTATAAAACAGGCAGAATCTGCAGACTCATGCATCATAAAGTGTCCTGAGTATATATGTACTGGCAACAATGGCTGAAGTGATGCTTGTTTAGCGGCCAGACAACTGACGTAGTTAATGCTGATCAGCAGTGGCTTCTATAGCAAGGGATCCAGGATGATAGCCATCAGCATGAGAGATACTTTTATATACAGCCACCCTGTCATTTAGGGCTGTCCATTAGGGTCACAGTAAAAGTGGATAAAGAGAACAGGATTTCTTGGTTTATGCCAAACAGCTGTTCTTCACTATTATAAAAGGGTGACCCCTTTACTGGCTGGTCTTAAACAGGGGCTTCAAGCGACTCTCGTACGTCTCCTGCATCCCCTTGCCCGGATAACTCGTTAGATCGGAGTCAAGTCTTCAGCTGCCGGCCTGGCTGTTCCCTGACCCTGTCCGGAGCCTCTCTTCGGCCGTGTCACAAGCAACGGCTCCATTATTCTAGAATGCTGGCACGGTCAATCCTCAGCCTGCAGGATCAGCACTGCATGCATCCATGACGGAAGGCTTACAGTTAGTTATAGTTGCGGGCTCGGGGAAAAGAATCGTCATTATTTTAGTATTTGTATTGCATTTAGTTACACTTCAAGCCAGACGCTGTTAATACTCGAGAAATCACCGACGGTGCCTGAACTAAAAAAAAAAAAAAAAAAAAAAAAAAAAGGAACGCTCTCTCTCTCTATCTTCTGAGAGGCGGTGCTTGCTGGCTATAGTCCCGTAGCAGCGAGTTTGCTGGCCAGTTCATCAACCTTGCTATCCGGCTCTTGGGCAACCTTCTCGTTTTCAGCACGTTCGGCGTCTTTAACGACTCGCTCGGCCTTCTCCTCGACCTCTTCCTGGTCTTCCTCCTCCTCATCTTCGTCCTCTTCCTCCTCCTCGTCTTCGTCTTCGCTCTCCAGCTCATCAAGCTCGTCTAGTCCCCAGGCGGATTCGTCCTCATCCTCCTTGCCCAGCTTCTCCTTGCGATCCTCAAGCAAGTTACGCAGATCCTCGAGATTCGAATCCTCTTCGCTCAGTTTATTTCCATTCAACTCAACTCGCTTCAACACGGGGAGCGAGGTCTTTGCCGCCTCAACGAACTCCTTTAGACCCTCAGCGTTAATGTCGTTGTACGCCAAACGGAGGATCTCAATCTTCTTGTTCTCCCCCTTTGCAAGGCTCTTTGCAACTCGTAGTGCGCCTTTACCCTTGAGGTAACAGTCACTTAAACTAATCTCACGGATATTGGGCCATCCGGTAACGACACGCGCCAGGACCCGAGAACCAGTCATGGTAAAAGTGTTGTCCTGCAAATCCAACACTTCAAGCTCAGGAGCATGCTGCAGGCCTCCATCCAGCAAAAGCACGATTCCGTCCTGTCGAATGCCGTTCTGCGTCATCCGTATGCTGCGAAGCCCCTTTCCATGGTCCTTTACCATCTTCGCCCATGCAGCCATGCTGCCACTCTCCAGTCGGTTGCGACCACATACTATCGTCTCCAGATAAGGCACTGGAACCTTTGGGTTGGCCGCCCGAGCCTCCTCCTTTTTCGTATGCAACTCTCTCAGTGCATCAGCAATAAGATTTCCGGCTTTGGGGCCAAGACCGTTATTATTCAATATTAAATGGCGTAGCGGGGTGTGCGCTTTCAAAAACTCGACAAGTGGCGCTTGAGTATTGAGTCCAAATGCATTATCGCTTAAATCGATAGTCTCAAGCGTTTCGACTTCTCGTAGAGCTTGTAGAAGGAAGGACAGAGCCTGCGGTATCTCGTCGAGCAGCCGAGAGGTAAAGATATCGGCCAGGTTGGCTGTGTGTAGCTTCTTCTGGGTTCGGAGGACGCTGGCTAAGCGCTCGCTTGCGGGGACACCAAATGTATTCCCACCTAGACGGATTTCAGTGATAACATCGTTCGTTTCCACAAGGGGCTTAATGAACGGCTCCAGATCAGCAGCAGAATCAAATCTCTGTCCCTTGCCCTCGATCGAGAAGAGAGTGGCAGAGGCCATGGTGGGGTAGGGTCTCCTTGAATTCTAGATGTGCTCCAAACACAGATGTTTTACCCCTCCAACACAGAAAAAAAAGGGCGTATCCTTGAGAAGATGTGAGATAGTCGATATCCAGTGATAGACGGCACAATAATCGGCGCTGTCAACAAGTCCGCAACTGTTTTGTCTCTACTGGAAAAGGAGAAAAGGAGACAAGGAAGAAAAAAGGAGGCTCCAAAACACTAGAAAAAAAGCCCCCACGAAGCTTTTTGGCGGGAGCGACTGATAGATGACTAAGCCATAATGGATATATAATTATCCGTATTACTAATGCGGACCGACTGCGTGGGTCGCTTCGGACCCGCCGGAGTTAAAGGGGGCGTGCTTACTCAGCAAGAAAAAGGCCGAAGCTCGTCGACGCTCGAGAAAAGCATCAGGAGACAGCTTTCAATTATTGTCGGGCATCAACATCGACCACAGTCGAGCACTTCCCACCTACTCGCTCCTTACGGCCCTGTCACTCGTTCTCGCGCCACAATGTTGGGTTTTATCTCTGGATTCTGGGCCAGTAAGTATATACATCCTGCTCTCGAAAATGCGAGTGCTAACTTAGACCGCAAAGAGCCCGTTGCAGAGGAGAAGCCTGCAGCTAGCGTTGTCGTCCCCAACCAAACGACAAAGCCAAAGGTACGATACTTCGGATATGCAGGATACGCTTTTATTGAAACGAAACCCTTGTGCTGACTGATGCGTGTTGTTACCAGCCATGCTGCGTCTGTAAAGAAGAAAAAGCCACACGAGATGATTGCATGCTCTTTTCCAAGTCCGACGACCCTGCGTCAGGAGAATGCTTGACATATGTACAAAAATATAAGGACTGTATGGCTGGATTCGGATTCAAGGTCTGAGACAATTGAATTGGAAGATGGAAAGGGAATATGAAAAGCCTTCAAGTCTATCTGGGATGTTGGTAGCTCGTGAATAGATTTTGCGAGTTACTAGATTAGCCGTAGCTGCGGTTATCTTTATTATGGCTGGTAATCAAGTCTAGCTGCTGTATTTCACTGCTGTATAATATGGGTTGGGAATAAGAAATGGTTATAGAACGGGGCGCATAATCTGAGGGGCCCTGGGTGTATTGTATAATTATCTCAATTGAACAGAATCTCAATTCAATTCGATTCTATGCTCGTATCGTCAAACAAGACTCGGAGTAAACCGGATAGGGAAACAGGTAGTTTTCGAAGTCTTCCCTTGCCTTATAGTGGCGAAGTGGGGGATAAGTACTGGGAAGGGTTTGACGGACACTTATGACGAACAATTTGTTATTGTTCATGCAATGTAGGATTGATTTCGACATGCCTGCTTGCATTGGAAGTGGCACCTGATTTTATGGTGAAGGTAGATAGCCCACATGAGACTTGCATTAATAGCCGCATGTAATACCTCTAGAGAAGGTAATATAGGGAAGGGATTCAAAGTTAAACTGCCCGAGTAGGGAGGCTGATACATCTTTGATTGACATCAAGCCTGGGGTATCGAGAGGGTAGCTGAGGAGGTTGTCACCAATCTGCGTTCGATAGACTTGGAGCTTTGGTTTGATATATTATTGATGAGAAAGAAGGCTAGCTGTTGGAAGCCCTCTGAGCCTTGGAATTATCGCTGGAGTCTTTTGGGCCTTTAGCACCAATATTTTGGTCTTTAACCTTTTCAAGGGGTACTTTTTCAGGAGCTGTACGTTTGCGCTTCGGGTTCAAGGTTGGCGGCTGCGGTTCAAAGATGACCGCTTGTATGAGTTTCCAGTTGCACCAAAGGTAGATAATTCCAAAGCCCGATGCACCTATTAGTGCGTTCAGGACAACCCATAAATCTGGTTTTGTAGGCGGCGGTGAAACGTTGCTTTCAAGAAGATGCCACCCAAGCATGGCTGCATAGTAAGATATATGGATGAGCTTGGTTTTGGTAAATAGCTCCACGGATTTCTGTGCAGCGCTGCGACTCCTATATAGATCAAGAGACATTGGCGGTAGTCCTAGCAAGTACGCCCATAGGAGCGTAAGGACAGTATAGGGAATGCGTAATTCGTCACGCTTTAGAAGTGGGAACATTGTCCATACGCCGAGCATATTAGCCAAGCCAACCCAAGCACGTATTTCTTTGCTAAGTCCACCGGCGCTTCCCAAGAGCAAAGTCATGGGTAGAAGAGGTAGTAGAACACTTTTCTCATGGACCTGGAAGGAGCAGAGAAAGAAACCCCAGCCAGTGCTTGCTAAGGCATAAGGAAGAAGATGGGTCCGAGGATATCGTCCAATTATCAAACAAGATGGCATTATGGTGATGAGGGTAGCACCCAGGGCTGCGAGCTTGAGTATGCTGGGGTCGAACTTATTGAGCTTGTAGAAAGTGTGGATGGCACACCACACGTTAGCAACCTTGTCCTCGAACAATCCACGTGCAAATGGGAATATACGGTGGATACACTGGGTAAACTGTACAACCACTTGATAAAGCCAGGAGGTTTCGTGTATCTGCATTGGAAGTGATTTCATCAATGGTGGTAGGTTATCAGGCCTTGGGATGTTGCGGTACCAGTCTGCGAGCGAGCCAGCGAAGAGGGGTGCGAACAGTACGGCAAAAGCAACGATGGTAATCAGAGCAATGCCAAGCAGCCTGTTGGGTCGAATCCGAGGAGAGAAGCAAATACCCAGAAGATAAGCAAACACAACCGGAGCAAAGTAGAGTGTCATTTGCTTGAACCCCAGAGCTGCGACAAAGAATATACTTGCCCATAAAGGCCTGCCAGCGTACATGCTTTCAAGCGAAGCAACTATGAAGCCAAGCATCACAGTGTTGTACTGGAAATGCCCATGGTCGATAAGAATTGTAGACGGCTGCATAAGTACCGCACAGAGAGCAATGGAGCCTGGCCATGGTCCAACGCCTTGCTCACGAGCATATCTTCGCAGAAAGATGACGACAGCTGGGATATAAACTAGGTACTCGGAGACAACAACTGTGGCTCTCATATAAACCCTCAAACAGTGGCCCTTCTAGACCACGAGATTCATCCAATGCAAACCATGTTGGATCGACTAGTTGGCCTCTATATTCTGTTAGACTCTGGCTCTACCATGCTGTGATGTAGTAGTGGTGTTTGGAACATACATCTTTCCTAGTAGCCAGCTGTGGTAGGCTGTCAATGGGGGGTAATCCAATCCCCAGTATTGCAGATCATAGAAATACCACCAAGAAGTGGGGAGGTGTATTGTGAGTTCCATCCAGTGCCTCTGGGCTTCAAAGTCGCCATGCATTGGAGGTACACCATACCCTATACCAGATATATCAGTATGGGTGTATGTGTGAACACATAGATACATACAAAACACATACCTGAGTGACCCCACAACGAAGTTCCCCATCGGAAGAGGCCAACAATCATCAAAACGACGGGCAGAATAAGCCATTGAGATACACCGGACCGCGCAGGCCAGAAGAAAGACACCAAGGGGAAAGCCGGCGCATAGGTATCTTGGCCCTTGGACACTACCAGGTCAGTGGTGAGCCCAGATCCCGACAAAGCTCGGCGTTTCTTTCGAGGCCTGCGAGGCGAAAGCGTAAGAGGTGCCATTGTATCAGTAGCAAGGTCCGTCCATCAAGGTAAACAGCACAGCAAACACAGAGAGGACTGGATTGTACAGATCAAATCATCGGCTTGTCAACAGGTCTAGTTATGTTGTTTGATACTTGCGATTCTCCATACAAACAACTTGCAAACGTCGCAAGCTTCCTAATTCGGATTTTTAGGGAGTTACGAGCTGACTAAGCTAACAGACGAGCCCCGAATCTAAGCTAGTCCTTTTTTGGACTAGCGAGCGGAGAGCTAAGTAAAGGCGGTGAGTATGAAATTTCAACCGGCAGAAAAAAGCTCAAGCAGAAAAAAAAAGCTTCATCAATAAATTCAACTTTTTTTGCTTTCAAACTTCACAGAATTTCAACCTCATCCATCAACACTTCATCAATTTTCGTTCTCTTAAAAAGACTCCCAGATTCCGAGTCGCTAGCAAGAGCGCTATACGTTCTGTATAGAACTCTTACTGTAACTCGTTGTATTTCCTGTGGGCTTCTGTGGGCTTGTCGCGTGAGATTTTCTTACTAGAGGGCTTTACTGTTCGCTTGTGGGCTGAGGCATTGAGATCTTGACATCTGTGGGATTTTGATTGCTTATATCTGCATTGACATAGATCGGATCATTCGAAAGAGTGTCCGTCTCGTTGGCTTGTGGGTTATCTGTGAGATCAATATTCTGTGGGCTCTTAGTTTCTGTGGGCTTTTGAGAATCAGTTCCTAGTTGGCTCTGTGGCACTTATTACTCTGTGGTCTCTGTTACATACATACTGAGGGTTACTCTTTACGTGGGATATATCTCGTGTCTTTCTAAAAAACATCAAGTGGTGAGTGTGTCCCTGATTCTGGCTCCCTGTATCTTCTAACGCGCATTACAGGGAATCAATCAAAATGAAGGCTCCAAAGGTTAAATCCGCTGCAAAGGAGGACAAGGTCCTTACCAAGGTCAAGGAGGGTGGTGTGAAGAAGTCTACCATGAAGTCGAAGGTTCCTGCAGAGGTTGTCGCTAAGAAGGTTGAGAAGTTGAAGAAGAAGGCTCCTACTCCGTCTGAGAGCTCTGAGTCTGAGAGCTCCGAGAGCTCCGACAGCTCTGAGGAGAGTGAGGAGGAGGAGGAGAAGGCTGCTCCTGTCAAGAATGGTGCTGCTGCTGCTGACTCTTCGTCTGAATCATCTGACTCCGATGAGTCCGAATCCGAGGACGAGAAGCCAGTCAAGAATGGCGCCAAGGTCGCCAATGACGAGAAGGCCGATAGTGAGAGTGAGAGCGAGAGCGAGAGTGACGAGGAGGACAGCGAGGACTCTGATGACGAGGAAGAGGTAAAGAAGGCCCCTAAGGAGACCAAGGCCGCCGTCAAGAAGGACGAGGTCTCTGAATCTGAGGACTCCGATGACTCCGAGGAGTCTGAGTCTGATGAGCCTGCCAAGGCAAAGAAGGTATGTCTACAATTGCTCTTTGTGCTGTAAAGAGACTTGACTAACAAGATTTCTAGGATGATGACGAAGAGGATGAGGAAGAGGAAGATTCTGACGACTCTGACTCCAGCGAGGAGGAAGAGGAGAAAGAGGCTGAGAAGCCACAGAAGAAGCGCAAGGCCGAGGAAGAAGCCGAGCCTGTTGCTAAGAAGGCCAAGGTTGACGTTCCTGAGGGTGCCTCTGCCAACCTCTTTGTCGGTAACTTGTCGTGGAATGTCGATGAGGAGTGGCTCCGCTCTGAGTTCGAGGAGTTCGGTGAGCTTGCTGGCACTCGCATTGTCACTGACCGCGAATCTGGCCGATCCAGAGGGTGAGCATATCAACTTCGTATTCAACATCAAGCCCTTGCTAACAAAGCGTGTTAGATTCGGATATGTCGAATTTGTCAATGTTGAGGACGCCGTCAAGGCTCATGCAGCTAAGAAGGACGTCGAGCTCGACGGCCGCAAGATGAACCTCGACTACGCCAATGCCCGTGCCAACGGCAACGCAAACCCACGCGAGCGTGCTGACAACCGTGCCAAGTCCTTCGGCGACCAGACCAGCCCCGAGAGTGACACCTTGTTCATCGGCAACATCTCCTTCTCCGCCGATGAGAACATGGTCCAGGAGCTCTTCTCTAAGTATGGAATGATCCAGGGCATCCGTCTGCCCACTGACCCTGAGTCTGGCCGCCCCAAGGGCTTCGGCTACGTCCAGTTCTCCTCCGTCGACGAGGCTCGCGCTGCCTTGAGGCCGAGCAGGGTGCTTACCTTGTGGCGTTCCGTCCGTCTTGATTTCAGCACCCCCAGCAGCTGGTGCAGG